TAGGACATTCTACTTTGCATTCCCCAAAATGAAACAAAGAAGCGAAATAAATAAAATATTGTATGACATTCTACTTTGCATTACCTACAATGCCTAAAAGAAGTGAAAAAATTCGAAGGCATTACAACGCTATGCCTTCTAGAACACGTTACCACTAAAAGCGATTACCGATTTTTTGCTGGGTATGTAGGTAGATATGAATAAACGCACCAAAGTATATACATACATACATATGCATAAGCCTTGGTGCACTTCTAAAGGCCAGGCACTTTCATTTGATACCTCATTTTTGAAAACCATGCGATGGATGTAAATATTATAAGTTTGGACAGGCGGCAACTCTGTTCAAAAAATAAATCCATATGTACGTCTTCAGGCCCAGTGCTTTCATTTGACACCTTATTTTTTTAATCCAAAGAACCGCGCAGATTTTATAATTTTTAAAATAGTGGCAATCCTATTCAAAAAAATATATCATAACTGCACATCCAGAGGCTAAGCCCTTTCATTTGACACCTCATTTTTGAAAATCGGGATAACTGCGTAATTATCATAATTTTAAACGCAGGTGGCACCCCTATTAAAAAAATATATCCTTACTGCACATCCAGAGGCCAAGCCTTTTCATTTAACACCTCATTTTTCAAAATCGGGAGAACGGTGTAAATATCATAATTTTAAATGCAGGTGGCAACCCTATCAAAAAATATATGCTTTCTGCGCAAGAATGATAGAATACAAGATTGCGCCAATCGAGCTGAGAGCAACTGGCCGTGACGTCAAAAAATACCAGAATGAGAGAGCAAGACGAACTCGACAAGAAAAAGAGGAAGCATCGAAGAAAAGGCAGTGTTGCCAAGTTTTGACTTTGAAAAAGCACCAAATTTGTATTGATGTATTTTATGGACTTTATATGAATACATAATTTTATTGTAAGGATGCCGATTCAAAAATCAATGTTTCTTGCACAACGGTCGATGACGAACTCGACAAGAAAAAGAGGAAGCATCGACCAAAAGGCAGTGTTGCCAAGTTTTGAATTTGAAAAAGCACCAAATTTTTATTGGTGTATTTTATGGACTTTATATGAATACATCATTTTATTGTAAGGATGCCGATTCAAATTAATAAAAATCAATGTTTCTCGCACAACGGTCGATTTCTTCTGGCATGATTGAAGGTGCTGCACATATTTCGTTGTCGCCTATGATTGTCACTGTGCTATGATTTTGTTTAAATTTTTGTAAAATTGCTTACCACACTTACGATTGCTATAAATTTTGCTTCCATTTTGTTAAGATTTTCTAATTTGATGTCTTCAAACTAAAAACAAAAGCACCAAAAACGCACCAAGCACAAAACTCAAAAATTGTCGCGTTTTGAATACCCACTAAATTTGGTGCGAAAAGCATCAAGTTGGCAACAGTGTATGTAAACAAAAGTATTTTATGACGTCAGCGATTGGGTGGATGCTGTCAAATCGACGAAGAGAGGGTTAGCGGTCCGCGAATGGCGCGACCTTTATTTTCTGGATCGTGCTTTCTGCGCATCTAGACTCTAGATTCTAGAGCAGTGTCCGCCAAAAAGAGAAGTCTTAAAATGAGAATGTATTAGTTATGAAATAAAAAAATGAGAATGTGTTGGTGGTAATGCACGGAAATGCGTCGTCAACCTGCTTCGCCTATTGTTTGCATGCAACTAAATAAAATTTGTTGCTCTGCTACTCTTTCTGTTGACGTTCGGATTGTGTACGTGTAAGGAGCCGATTGTGTACATGTGAAAGGCCGAATATAGTTCGTTTCCCAGGAAAGTGTTTGGCGGGCACTGATGTAGAGCACAATCGGCTTCTTACACGTACACAATCCGAACGTCAACAGAAAGAGTAGAAGACAGTGTTGCCGCGCCCGCAAAATAAAGTTTAACAAAATCTTTCAAAAAGTTTAACAAATCCGGTTAAAATTAAGCGACTTATTTAGCGGGTCTTCTTAAAACGAAAATGCTTGGAGTTACTGTTTGTTTCATCCTGAGCTTGGTAAATTGGTTATAGAAATAAAAAGAAAGTAAGTCAGTAAGAAAAGGCTCCCTAAGGCTGAGTTTTGTCGTCAAAAGTAAGGATGTTGTAGTCTAAGGGCCAATTTCAAATGTATATTTAAACGGCACTTAAGCTTGATCGTGGATTGTTGTTTAAATGCCATTTAGCTTTCCTTGGGTTTCAGATCAACTTTGTTTAAATATGCCAAACAATTGGCAGCACTGCTGCTTATTAATTTAAATTGTTGTTGCATTTGCTTGTTTGTTTACATTTTCTGCTGAACAGCTGATTGTTTTAGGTGGGATTTGGTGGGATTGATTAAATAACCTACCAATCAATCTTGGTTGTTTGGTATAAACACAGGGTCGCATATCTCATATTTAAATAGCAAAATTGGCCATTTAAGTGCAGACTAAATGTATGATTTGAAAATGAATAGTGGAAACTAATCAAGAATCTATACTTAAGTAGGCCATCTGAAATCGGGCCTAACAGTTGCTAAATTTGAAAACTATTACACATTCTTTCAGGCTTTCAACACATACTCCTATAATAGTTATCTGCCCTTTCGCTAGTTTTTTGAATGCATGCAAAAAACGAGTTTAGAATCATGTTATCCATAATGTGCGTGTTGATCTTTTCACGCAAATGAAGGGACCTAAAGTTCTAGGTTGCCTCCGAACGGCAAATGGTTTTCATAAGAAGCGATTTCATGGCAGAAGTACACTCGGGGGGTTTGAACATGCGACGACCGCTGATCGGGAATTGCGTAGAGCAAAATTTGCTGGAACTTTATGTGGGATCTGTATGACAGTCCCCTAAAATAAATTTGAAAAATTGATTGAAATAGTAACTCTTCTGACTATGAATTTTTGAGGAAAATTATCCCTTTTGACTATTTAGGCAAAAATATTTTGCAAAACGAAGAAAAGTTTAACATTTTAACAGTCAGGAAAAACTTAAGCAATTTTGCTTAAATTGAAGCAAAACGGCAACGCTGGTAGAAGAGCAAAAAATTTTATTTAGTTGCATCACAGTATACCAGTAGAAAAGGTTTTTGTTGTTGTGGCTGTTAATTTGGTCCCCATAAAGGACTTGAGGGTTGCGAGCAACTATTTTGCCGCATTCAGGGTGCTGTGCAGCAAAATAATGTGGTGAAAAATTTTAACATCGGATAAATGGCGAGAGAAATATTGTTATGCGCATTATAAGTAAGCATGAACGTAATAAAATTTTTCATACTTCAATACAACTAATTAGCGCTACTTTTGCAATTCGAAATGATCTTAAAAATATTTGTAGTGAAATATGTACTTTATGAGTTAAATGGAAACTATCTTGTATGTAAAAATATATTCCGATTTACTTCAAATAAATGATGTTAAATGTTTTATATATGGATCTAATTTTAATAATAAAATTTATTACTTTCATCTACATTGTTTTTATTTTAAGTTTTCACGAGTAGTTGCAGTTTTCTGCAATTGTCTCTGGCCGACTATACATGTTAAAGCCAAATAATTTCACAATTTGTACCCTATTAAAGGTTTATATTTTAATAAAATGTGATCAATTATTTAAGAATATATATATTCCGATCAAACTATAGTACTGAATGCTTGACAAATAATTATTTAAATCAAATGATCAATAGTGAACGCACTCGGAGTGAATTTTGGAACACGGAGCGAAATATGCATATTAAGACTAAATAATTTCTAACTTTCTACCATATTATACGTTTATATTTCAATGTAATATGATTAATTACTGAAGAATATATAAACTCCGAACAAACTTCACTACTGAATGCTTGACAAACAATATTTGAATCAAAAGATCAATAGTGGACGCGCTCGGAGCGAATTTTGGAACACGATATAAATGTTAAGACTAAAAAATTTCTTATAAGCTTATGTTTTAATATAATATAATTAATTACTGAAGAATATATTAACTCCGATCAAACTATAGTATTAATTGTATGACAAACTATTTAAATCAAATGATCAACAATGAACGCGCTCGGAGCAAATTTTGGAACACTTCATAGAATATTTACAGAGGAAGTATATTATTTGGTAGAGATCAAAATGTATTTAACAAAGTGTGATTGAATTTGATATTGCTCCCAGAAGAACCATCCTATAGTCATATTGAAAAAAAAATTTTATGCATTTTGAATCGTTTGTTTATATTTTTTTACATAATATTAAGAGAGCCGCACTGAGTTGTCAATAACACCTTGTTTAATACACCCATGATACAAATATTTAAAGGTAAAAGCGCTTGCTCAATTCGTCGGCCATCATTTATTTTTTGAAGTTTGTCTATTTTATAAAATTGAAATTTTGAGAGCAACTCAAATGCCAAATAAAAGTAAAACAAAAAACAAATATGTGAAAATATTGAAATTTTCATTTATTTGAGACTGAAAATGAGAATGTATTTGTGAGATTGGAAATTTGAAAACATTTTTGTAATGTTAGCAAACTTCAAAAATGTTCAGGCTGCCTCTCAGCGGTTTTACCTTCAGATTTTTGTATCATGGATACACCTCGAGATACCACGAACAAGTTTTCCTTTGTTTATTTTTACTTAAAGTCCTTAAATATGTATCTTGATTTCTGTAGAATACGTATTCATTTTTTTAACCTTTTTAAAAAAAGGGAGGACAGTCGGATCTACGTAACCAGAACGACCTGAATGAGCATTAAAGTCGGTTGTATTTTTTGCTCAAAATTACTTGTTATTATTCAGATACAGTTTCGCTACTATTTAGAGATTTCTCGACATACTTGTTCACATTACTGTTATTTATTATTTTTCTTATTAGTCGTTTATATGTTTAGGACTTACTGTGGGTGCTTTAAGATTCATTTTGTAAATATGTATGTACATATAAAAAACAATTGCGATATTTTATTTTATTTTAAATTATGAATTTTATTCGTGCAATTTTTTATGTTTAATAGTTTTGAGATTTTTTGGTTCTGTTGTATTCTTTTATTGCATATCTTTAACTCTTTTACTTTAAGTTATAATGTTGAAGATAAGCCTTCTGCCTTTGTCAAGCACTTTAGCTAGGTACGAGAAATTTAGCATATGCACGTAAGAGTATAGGGTAGGTATAGGGCTGTGCTGCCGCGATTCTCCAACATCTTGTCAAAGGAGAAAATATATTGGTGGCGGAATCCATCGTAGTCCGATTTTTCATAAAATCTACAAAAAAGCGATCACTGAATCTGAACTGCTATGAACGTGTGTATTCAAAGCAAGCACTGCGTTCGTAGCTACTCGAATTTAATTGCTTTTTCATAGATTTCACGGAAAATCGGACTACGATGGATTCTATGACAGCCTTGATTAGTTCGTGCCAATATAGCAACTCAGTTACCAGCTTTCAGTTGCTAGTTGCCATCGGTAATACCATTTCAGCCACTGGCCAACCCACTGAAGTTCGGTTGTCCTCCGTAATCGACCCATTAAATCGGAATCGAATATGCATGCACGTTCTGCAGAACGATAAATATTTTGTAAATGTGTGCTCTGTCCGCTAACGAATTCCAGCCATGTGTGAAATATCGTATGTGAAGCCTCCGTCTAACTTAACGATTGTCAAAGGCACGCCAGAAGATGTTTCATCATATGTTTTCGACCATCGTCTTCTTCGAGTAAGTTCATCGATTCCAAAAACTTTACAACCTCTATGTGCCAGCATCCCTTAGTGTTTTTGCCAATGACATGGCACTATTGCACTGTTAATAACCAAATTTAGCCGCAGTTGCATTCACACGTGATATAATAGCTATTGTCGGCATGTGGGAGTCCCCAGGAGATGGCGTTTGTTCAGCTATCGAAATCATTACACCGACGGCGGTGGGCAGTACTGCTGGAACATATTTACCACAGCGGTGGTTGTGGCGTTTTGTTCTGCAACAATAGCCTGCAATGATGACATGTCATATAATGTCGATGAACAAAGATATAAAATTGAAAATGACTAACCTTATTCCCGGCCGATTGGGAGACCACCCTTGGTCACGACCAGAACGCATTTACCAAGAGGAAAAACCGCAGGGATTGCAGTAGTTCTTGCAATCACCGTTGATGATGCTGTGCTTGTAATTAATAGTCTGAAAAGGCAGAAAATTGCATTAATCAAATGTTAAACACATCAAATAAATAAATTTCAATAATTTGTTTACCATTTTACAAACCGAATTACCAAGAAATAGAAACTCACCGCTTTGCGATACAGAAATAATAACCAACAGGGGTGCATTTTCTTGGTAAACAGCAGAAGCGCTCAGAGCAATCTGATCCACAATATTATTTTCTGAAAAATAAGACTCGAAAAGAGTTTTTAAACATGATTATCACATTATCTAATTAGCGCACACTATCGAGTTTATTTCTAGTAGAATATAATTGTATTATCTCAGACTTTTTTTCAATGTTTTCTAATATTCGTTCTTTTGGAATGCAAAAGCAACCATGCGCTCAATTTCTTGTGGGGAAATTTGGCCCCCATAAAGGACTTTCACCACGAAACAGCTACAAAAACAAAAACCTTTTCTACTGGTATACTGTGAGTTGCATGCAAACAATAGGCGAAGCAGGTTGATGACGCATTATTGTTGAATAAAGTAGGTACACTGAGCAGAATGAATGAATATTCATTCAAAAATTTTATAACACAATTTTTCGTACATACACCCCTAGAAATAGGTATGTATATGGTACCAAGTCGTGCTTTTTCTTCATATTAAAAGAACTTTGTCCTCAATTGTTATTTATCTTTTGGTTTAATCGTTATTTTAAATTGTTCTTAAATGTCAAGTTTTACCTAATTTTAAAATAAATATATATTAGATATATATATTTTTATTTTATTCCTACTTGAAATCAACGAAATTTTCTTTTAATATTCAGAGAGTACGAAGCACGTTATCTTTTTGCTCAGAAATCCACACTTAAATTATAAAAAAATAATAATAATTTTGTACAATACATACAAAATTTTACCAACTTTTTCCTTTCTTAGGGACGTTAACTTTCATTATATGTTTCTATGTTGTTTAGATGTAAAAAATAGCGCACAATGAAAAAAAACGGCAAAAAAACATACCAAAGTTTTTATAATAAGTAATACAACACAGACTCTTGTGACTCTTTTGAAGACGGTGTGCGATATGTATGTACATCAGGGAACTGCAATTATTCGTGTTTTTAAGTAATTGGTTGAATAACACAAGAAATAGTTAGTGGATATTATTCATTGCAGAATATTCACACATATGCACTAACACTATTTTACGCTCGGTACACAAAGCGAGAGCATGTAAAATGACTAAGTTCTCTGTTGATATGAATTGGTGCAGTGCTCAATTCTCTCATTGAGCCATTAAACAAATTAGTTATACCGAAATGAGTCGGAGCACTAAGAAGCACCAATAGTTCAGTTGAGTGATTTTAGTGATTTTCGTCGTTTATAGCAACAAAACATGTACACACGACGAGAAAGCGACAGCATGTGAAGGCACACTAACACACTCTCACTTTTAGCTCACACTTGTTTATGGTGGCGCCCGCATGTCGCACAGTGTTGGGAAATGAAATTGTTCCTTCAGTACGAAATCTATACAAAAACTATACTTTTCGACTGTAAATTGCAGCGACTTTTTAATTTGCTCATATATTTTCTTAGTACATGCATACATAGATTCCCTTCAAGATCAATGATTTGATGGTATTCATGGGAAAGTTTATGTAGGTACATTTTACACTTTGAACATAAATGTGTATGCACATATTTTAAGGTACACTTCTTAACAAATAAATTTTTTAAAGTTATTATGCATGGATAAAGGAGATATCTTCTTTGAATTCACTACTAAAGTTTGACACTTTATTTTTAGTATTACAAGTGCTTATCAAAACTTTACGACACTCACATATTGACAAGATTGGCTATTTATCTTAAAATAATTTAATTTTAATTATTTGTTTATAAAAATGCAGTTTATACTTTAATAAAACCCCAAGGTTCAATTTTTTCGCAACATTAAAGAAATCAACAAACTTTCGTAAAAATTTCGGGCTTTTTGTAGTCCGATCAATTTAAATGAAGTGCAAGTTTAAAATAGCTGCGACTTATCGTTGATTTTTAATATATATATATATATTTTTTTCTTCGTTAAAAAAAAATCGCGTTTAGATAATATGACATTGACGGCAAATTCCAGCTGCTTTAAACTTGCACTTTATTATACTAAAATTGAAATAGAAAGCTCGATTTTTTTAATGTTGTTCAAAGATTTAAACTTATTTTCATACAGTTTTTGTTAAGGAATTAACTATATGTAGGTGATTTCGNAATAATAAAATAAATAGTCAACTCTAGTCAATATATGAGTGTCGTGAAGTTATGATATTTAAGAACATAAAGAATTAACGATGACACTGTTTCTAACTATATGAAGCTGATTTCGACATTTTGTTTTAATAAGATTTAGTATCGAAAATATTCTTTCAAAACTTGCCTAGGAATGTGAGGTTGATAGCACCCCTTTTGCTATGTTATAATGGTTATTTCAAAACCTTTTTTCAAAACTTACAAAGGCAAAAACGAGAAGGCGAAGACGAAAAGATAAAACGAATTCCCGCAGTGAATTTTCTGAGCTACGTATTTATTTATAGTATTCATCACAAAATTTNTTTCGATGTTATAATGGTTATTTCAAAACCTTTTTTCAAAACTTACAAAGGCAAAACGAGAAGGCGAAGACAAAAAGATAAAACGAATTCATTTATAGTATTCATCACAAAATTGTACTAAAAAGTACTGCGTATTAAACGAAATTGTATCAAAAAAGTACAATTGTACCAAAAATGCCAACACTGATGTAGAACAAAGCAGAACACAAATAATATTAAACTCATTGAAATTATTTTCAGCCTCTCACTCGACCAAATGAGTAAAATCCAGCTGGGTAGACTATACTCGATAGAGACAAAAATTGCCTCCGCAAACAGTGTTGCCAAACATGGGCTTTTCCTACCAAAACTGGTAGGGTTTTTTCCATTTGGTAGGCTTGATTGGATTTTGGTAGGTTTAGGGACAATGAGTAATAGTTATTAGCGAAAAATAGAAAATATGTACGTATATCCAAATATTTTAGCAACCTTTTTACACAAATATTTCACCGGCGCGTTCGTATAATGGCGGCCACAAACATGTAAATATACCTGATTCCTAAGTACAAACGTATACCTTATTATTGCCAATATGCAATACGGACATCCATATATCGTGACCTAAGGGTGAAAAGGTGCCAAGTCCATTTTCAGAAATTTTTCAAGAGAGAAGAAAAATCGATTTGGTTTCGTATTACCTGTCATTCTGCATCAAAAACTAAACTTAACAAGTAAGAAAGTCTAAGTTCGTTTGGAGCCGAACATTAAATACACGGCGCAAGTATTAAATATATGTTTTTTCACCTTNAAAACAAGTAAGAAAGTCTAAGTTCGGGCGGAGCCGAACATTAAATACCCGGCGCAAGTATTAAATATATGTTTTTTCACCTTTCCGAAAGCTACCGCTAGATGGTAAGCCGGGGTGTATCAATTTTGAGTTTCGAAATATCGCAGTTTCAAGCATTCCTGAAATTAAGCGTTATATGAAAAGCGGCCGTAATTTTAGTCCGATTTCAATAATTTTCAACGGTTTGCTTTTATTTGGCAAGCAGAATAAAAATACTGAGTTTGGTACAAATAGGTAGAACGGTTACCGATATACATATATGTGATTATAAGTGAGCGGTGCCACGCCCATTTTCCAAAATTTTACCATAAACGTATTTCTTGGTAAAGAATTGTTGCAAGCATCAATTTTGAATAAATTAGCTTTAATATTTACTGATTTATCGAAGATTTTGTATTTCTCTAAATTACCGTTATATGGGATGTGGGCGTGGTTATTGTCCGATTTTAAAAAGTTTCGGCGATTTTTTATGCTGTACCAAGGCCAACAACTGTGCCAAGTTTGGAAGAAATTGGTGCAGCGGCTATCAAGATATACACATGTAACCATAAGTGGGCGTGGCTACGCCCATTTTCCAAAAATTTATAATATTCTTATTTTTCGTCTGAAAATTATTGTAAATATCATTTGTTCCTAAAATATCGCAGTTTTTGTATTTATGGAAATTACCATCGTATTTCTG